GGCTAAGTCAAAACCTCAAGGTCCTTTGTGTCCCTCAAACCATTCTTGAACCATTTTTGCAGTGTGACGGATGCATTATCCACATGATGTAAAAAAATGTGATCCATCAGACCAGGCCACCACCTTCCATTGTTCCGTGGTCCAATTCTGATGCTCACATTCCCGTTGTAGACACCGTTGGCTGTGGACTTTTTCCTTTGTGTGATAACTGGTGAGCTGTTTGAGGGAGAGGTACTTGATGCCTAATGTTCAGGAGGCGTGGCCTTGTCGAATATAGAGGAATGGTTGCAGGAGGAAGATGTTGGTGTCACGGTTGGGGACATTGGTTCTGCAGGGAAGGAAAAGCATTTTACAGTTGGGAATGGGCTGTTATTTTAAATGGAGCTTCCCTTTAAGGTCAACCCCAGGTTGGGTGGTCCGTCTGCCCTTTAGAGGACCCTTCCTCTGCATTTCATTTTTAGATGTTTGCGGCATATTTTCTATGTGTTTTCTCCGGTCACGCCATGTGCTTAGTCTTCTTCCGCTTCTCCTCTTGTCTGCCAGTGGGCGGTGTTGAATGATGTAGAGCGTCAGAAAATCAGCACAGTGCTCTGCAACATTATACTGATCCCAGGTCAACATGGTGGTGCTGCTCAAGGGGGTCCATGACCACCTGGGTCCACTGGAAGTAGACAGGTGCTGGTTCAAGAAGCAGCAGGTCTGTGAATGACTGTGCCGGGGAGTATACTCAGCAGACCTAGGCTATTTTAATAAAAACAAAACCTAGAAGAGTAGAATAAAACCAAGTTTCCATTACATAATGATGTGATCACTGGGTGATCTCTGTGCGTCTCTATGCAAGGCAGGCAGATCATGGCTGGTAGGGTGCTGTACATAGCTTCCTGTAAACTTCAGAGCATTCTGCCTCAGTACTTCTCTCAAAAGCCCTTAGTTCTGATGCTAGCAGTGGGCTGGCTTTTGGGAGGAGTTATGCAAATATCAAAATGCCTTATGGGTGGGTGTCAGTCTGGAAGAGTGGGCATTCCTAGGTAGGGTGCATTTGCGTGCCAACAGCCACATGTGATGCTGAGCCACCATGCCTAAAAGAACTGAAATCCAATGAATGAAAGGGGCGGGCCAGGGACTGTCAGGCTGGGGAGGAAAGGGCTACATGATGCTGGATGTCTGCCAGCCAGAAAAAGACGCTGGCCCCATCTGACTTGCTGCAGCTTCTAATGCACATTCTCTTGTTCTATCTCTATTAACCCCTTCCTGCTGACGTCACACAAATATGGGGCCTCACAGAAGTGGGCTTTTTTCCGTGGGGCCGCATATTTGCGTACCTGTCTTTGTGCTGGGAGTGTGCCACTCTGCACGCTCCCAGCACTGAGACTGCGGTGTCACTGAGAGCCCCGAGTCCCAGTCTAACGATTGGGACCCCAGACTTCCGATCCTGGGTCACATGATCGCTGTGATAGCCTCTGATTGGCTATCACAGTGATCAGTCACTGTACAGCCTGGCCCCCTTGCTTTCTCCTCTCTCTATGAATGGAGGAGAGAGATACATTGTATCATTATATACATTCTATTATACATTGTATCATTATACACATTCTATTATACATGGTATCATTATATACATTCCATTATACATTGTATCATTATATACATTCCATTATACATTGTATCATTATATATATATATATCCCATTATACATTGTATCATTATATACATCCTATTATACATTGTATCATTATACATCCTATTATACATTGTATCATTATATACATCCTATTATACATTGTATCATTATATACATCCTATTATACATTGTATCATTATATACATCCCATTATACATTGTATCATTATATACATCCTATTATACATTGTATCATTATATACATCCTATTATACATTGTATCATTATATACATCCTATTATACATTGTATCATTATATTATACATTGTATCATTATATACATTCCATTATACATTGTATCATTATATACATCCCATTATACATTGTATCATTATATACATCCTATTATACATTGTATCATTATATACATCCTATTATACATTGTATGTATCATTTTATACATCCTATTATACATTGTATCATTATATACATCCCATTGTACATTGTATCATTATATACATTCTAGTATACATTGTATCATTATATACATCCTAGTATACATTGTATAATTATATACATCCTATTATACATTGTATCATTATATACATCATATTATACATTGTATCATTATATACATTCTATTATACTTTGTATCATTATATACATCCTATTATACTTTGTATCATTATATACATCCTATTATACATTGTATCATTATATACATCATATTATACTTTGTATCATTATATACATCCTATTATACTTTGTATCATTATATACAGTTGTGGCCAAAATTATTCAACCCCACTGAAATTGAGTGTTTTTTGGCCAGTTTGACATTGCTTTTGATCATTCAGTCATCTTGCTTACATTTACATTAAAGAGGCACTTGTAGGTCAGACAAATATAACATAACAGTTATAATGAAATAACCACAAATGTCTTTTCTGTGCTCACAGCATTATCAGTTTTATTCAACCCCCAAGTGACATTCAATCTTAGTACTTAGTACAGCATCCTTTTACAGTTATAACAGCTTTTAAACGTGAAGCATAGCTTGACACAAGTGTCTTGCAGCGATCTACGGGTATCTTCGCCCATTCTTCATGGGCAAAGGCCTCCAGTTCAGTCACATTCTTAGGCTTGCGCACTGCAACTGCTTTCTTTAAGTCCCACCAGAGGTTCTCAATCGGATTTAAGTCTGGTGACTGCGATGGCCACTCCAAAATGTTCCAGCCTTTCCTCTGCAACCATGCTCTAGTGGACTTGGAGGTATGCTTGGGATCATTGTCCTGTTGAAAGGTCCAACGTCTCCCAAGCCTCAGGTGTGTGACGGACTGCATCACGTTTCCATCCAATATCTCCTGGTACTGAAGAGAATTCATGGTACCTTGCACACGCTGAAGCTTCCCTGTACCTGCAGAAGCAAAACAGCCCCAAAGCATGATTGACCCTCCACCATGCTTCACAGTAGGCAAGGTGTTCTTTTCATCATAGGCCTTGTTCTTCCTCCTCCAAACATAGCATTGATCCATGGGCCCAAACAGTTCTAATTTTGTTTCATCAGTCCACAGAACACTATCCCACAACTTTTGTGGTTTGTCCACATGGCTTTTGGCATACTGCAGTCGACTCTTCTTATTCTTTGGAGACAGCAAGGGGGTACGCCTGGGAGTTCTGGCACGGGGGCCTTCATTACGCAGTGTGCGTCTTATTGTCTGGGCTGAAACTTCTGTACCCACATCTGACAAATCTTTTCTCAGTTCCTCAGCAGTCACACGGGGACTTCTCTCCACTCTACGCTTCAGGTAGCGCACAGCAGTCAAAGTCAGCATCTTCTTTCTGCCACGACCAGGTAGCGTTTCAACAGTGCCCTTTGCCTTGAATTTGCGAATGATGCTTCCTAAGGTGTCTCTTGGTATGTTTAACATCTTTGCAATCTTCTTATAGCCATTGCCCTTCCTGTGAAGAGAAATCACCTCTTCTCTTGTCTTCCTGGACCATTCTCTTGCCTTCACCATGTTTGTAACCACACCAGTAAATGTCTAGAAGGAGCTGAGTATCACAGTCATTTTAAAGCTGCCTAATTGGTGCTTATTATGCTTGATTGCTGCTCGGTGACATCCACAGGTGTTTTCAATACCTGATGGAAAGCACCTGTATGAACCTCTGTTCTTCAGAGTGGTAGTCTTTAAGGGGTTGAATAATTGTGGCAATGAAGAAACCACATAAGAACCATTTACTACTGTATTACATAAACAATTGATGTCATTTTAGTTGCATTTGGGTAGTTACAACGTCCTTGTAGGATTTGATTCTGAATACAATTCCAAATGTACACTATAGTCCCTAAACCCCTTTACAGCATTGGGGGTTGAATAATTTTGGCCACAACTGTACATCCTATTATACTTTGTATCATTATATACATCCTATTATACATTGTATCATTCTATACATCCTATTATACATTGTATCATTATATACATCCTATTATACTTTGTATCATTATATACATCCTATTATACATTGTATCATTATATACATCCTATTATACATTGTATCTCTCGAACTCCTGGCATAGAGAAGAGAAAAAAAAATGTTTGTAAAAAAGATAAATATTAAAATATAAAGAAAAATACCTAGATCAAGGTTTGCTGTAGTTCAGTGCCAGGGTAAGTGTTTGGGTCCAAAGTCAAAGGTCAGGATTAAAAAAAAAAATTAATGTTAGTGTCAGTGTGTTTTAGGTGAAAAAAAAAAGACAAAAACAAAATGCGCACTATTGTTTCTGGGCTGTACTCCGGGTACAAACAACAAATAACATACACATATATGGTATCGCTGCGATCGTCAAGAGCTGGAGAATTTATTTTGGGTTGTTCTTTGGTGGTAGGTTATGGTCATAACAAGAAACACACAGCTAAATAAAAAAAATATTTTTTTTTTTTACTATTTTGGGCCAGTTTTCCTTTGATAATAAAAAAAAATCAGGAGATATCCATGACCGTTTATCACCAAATGAAAGCCCAATTTGTCCTGAAAAAAACGCGGTATAATCCACCCGGATGTACAAAGTAGTTGAGATGATACGGACGGTTTTACTAACACACGTCAACATTGCAAAATTGTGCTTAGGCATTTAGATTTGTTTTACCCTTAGGCGTGAAGGGGTTAAATTACACAAGCATGGTCTACTGCAGACAGGAAGTGGCGGCCAATACACTGTAGTAGATCTGCACCACTCAGATATAACAAAAAATAGATAAAAGGTGACAAAAAAAAAACAATTCAGTTTACGATGCATTAAGCTTTACGTCTACTATATGACCTTTCCTTATTTATCTGCCTTTTACCTGGCTTTGTCGCTGTATATTTTAGGGGCTTTGCTGCTGCTGTTAACGTTGACAACCGTGTCCTTCTCTTGTAGATAAATTCAACACGTATGTGACCCTAAAAGTGCAGAATGTCAAGAGTACGACGGTGACGGTGAGAGGGGACCAGCCATGCTGGGAGCAGGACTTCATGTTGTAAGTGACACCTTCTACATTGTAACTGATGACGGAACTTGGACACACACTTTGAAATCTGCCAACTTTATATGTAGCTTGAGGGTCTATCTAAACCAGTGTTTATCAACCTTTTTTCAATCAAGACACCCTTAAAAATTATGGCCAATCCCGAGGCACCCTTTAACCACCTCCCGTCCGGGCGTTGTATATAAACGGCCGGACGGTGGCAGTGCAGGCGCGGGTGACCATTTATAAATGGCCTCCCCGCACCCTGCTTGTGTGCGCTCCTTGGGAGTGCGCAGCACCGCGATCCGGTGCCCGCTGTGTCCTCCGGACACACTGGAACACCGATCGTCGTACGGGACCTCTGTGCGAGGTCCCAATTATGTGATCAGTGATTGGCCAATCAGTGATCACATGCAGAGTAGTAAGCAAGATGTCACTTCTGACATTGCTTACTACGTGTGAAATCTGTGAATGATCACCGAGGTCACATGGTACAGGCCTATTCACAACAGCCTTGTACCATGTGACAAGCTGTGTCCAATCACAGCTCACACAGTAGTTCTGAATGGCTGCAAGAATGCAGTCAGAGAGAAGGAGAAATTATTGCTTTTACAGCCTGTATGGGTATAAAAGCAATCCGTGTAAAAAAAAAAAAAAAAAAAAAAATCTTCATCACCCCCCACAAGTTAGTATGGTGACACTGTACTGCTAAGGTGACAGTATGTAAAAAAAAAAACAAATATTAATATAAAAATGTTAAAATTTTTTTAAAAGTTTATAAATTATAATTTTTGGTTAAACTAATTTTTTTTTTTTTTTTTTTTTTTTTTTTTAAAAAGATAACAATACATTTTGGCCAAGATTTATGATGAAATATTTATTTGCAAAATTTTATAAGAAAATTTTTTTTTTTTTATAAGAAAAACACTTTTTTTTTCTAACTTTTTGGACATTTTCATTTACATAGCAAAAAAAATAAAAATCCCAGTGGTGAATAAATACCACCAAAATAAAGCTTTATCTGTCTCAAAAAAATGCTAAAAAATTCATATGGGTGCCAGTGTTGCATGACCGCGCAATTGTCATTCAAAGTGTGATAGCGCTGAAAGCTGAAGATTGGCCTGGGCAGGAAGGGGGTATAAAAGTGTCCGGACTGGAAGGGGTTAAAATTATGGCCAGTCTTGAGGCACCCTTTAATATTATGGACAGTCTCTCCCCTCCAACTCCACTCTCATGCCACTGCAGCAGGAGACAAGCCCTCAAGTTGAGGAGGAGCCAGGAGACAAGCCCTCAAGTTGAGGAGGAGCCAGGAGACAAGCCCTCAAGTTGGGAAGTAGTCGGGAGACAGCCCACAATCTGAGGAGGAGGCCAGGAGACAGCCGACAATCTGAGGGGGAGCCCTGGAGACAGCCCACAAGTTGAGGAGGAGCCCGAGAGAGAGCCCGAAAGTTGAGGAGCCCGAGAGAGAGCCCGAAAGTTGAGGAGGAGCCCGGGAAGTTGAGGAGGAGCCCGAAAGTTGAGGAGGAGCCCGAGAGAGAGCCCGAAAGTTGAGGAGGAGCCCGAGAGAGAGAGAGAGCCCGAAAGTTGAGGAGGAGCCCGGGAGAGAGCCCGAAAGTTGAGGAGGAGCCCGAGAGAGAGCCCGAAAGTTGAGGAGGAGCCCTGGCCCGAGAGAGCCCGAAAGTTGAGGAGGAGCCCGAAAGTTGAGGAGGAGCCCGGGAGACTGCCCTCAAGCTGGGGAGGAGCCCGGGAGACTGCCCTCAAGCTGGGGAGGAGCCCGGGAGACTGCCCACAAGTTGAGGTCTGTGTGTTGAAGGGAGGGAAGGGGTACTTGGGGACTTTGGGGTGTGCGTAGAGTGAAAAACATTTGTGCTGGAGATGAGTATGTGCTAGTAGACGGGCAAGACCAGAGGATTAGTTCTAGGTGGGGGGAATCTGCTCTGAAAATTTGCTGAGGAAAATTTGTGGTTGACAGGGATAAGATTTGTTTGAGGAGGGGGGTTCTGTGCTGGAAGAGGGAATTTTGGGGGTGACGAGGGTAAGATTTGTTCTAGGAGGGGAAAATATAGGGGGAGGGGAAATTGTGCTAGGAAGGGTGATTAGGAAGCATTTGTACTGAGGGGGGGGGGGGGGGGGGGGGAGGGAAAAAAGATTTGCGCTAGGATAGGGGGATTGGAGGTGATTTGTCCTAGGGGAGGTTTGGGAGGAGAGGATTTGTGCTGGGAGGGGGAATTTGGAGGCAGCAGGGAGTAAGATTTGTTCTAGGATGGGAAATTTGGGGGCTTATGCTAGGAGGAGCGATTTGGGAGGATTTGTGGCCTGTGTCACCCGAGCTATTGGATGTTTTAACATTTTCTACTGTTTCAAAGTTTGTTTTTTGGGAGTGTGGTGGTGCAAGTAGCTGGTGTTGCCAAGAGCTCAAAATAGTGGAAGGATGTGGGGACTTTGTAGGGTTTAGTGATGTAGGATTGTGTGGGGTGAAAGGATGGAGGGTCTATGTTGGACTTTGAAGGATAGATGGGTGTAGGGTCTATGTAGGACTGTGGAGGATAGATGGGTGTAGGGTCTATGTAGGACTGTGGAGGATAGATGGGTGTAGGGTCTATGTAGGACTGTGGAGAATAGATGGGTGTATTGTTTATGTAGCACTGTGGAGGACAGATGGGTGTTGATGGGTGTTGGTTCTGTGTAGGACATTGTAGGGATGAAGGGTTTATGTAGGATGGTGTGGATGTATGGGACATTGTAGAACTGTGCAGGAATGTAGAGACCATGTAGGGTGGAAGCATTTGGGGTCTATGTAGGATTGTGTAGGGTAGAGGGGTGTAAGGTTTATGCAGGACTTTGCAGGACGGATGGATGTAGGGTTTATGTTGGCGAATGGGCTTTTGTAGAAATGTACAAAGATGTAGGGACTTTGTAGGGTGAAAGGATGTAAGATTTAGTGATGTAGGGCCCGTGTAGGATTGTAGAGGTTTTATGTAGAACTGTGTGTGGTAGAAAGACAGAAGGTTTATATAGGACTGTGTAATATGGAAGGCTGTGGGTGGCAGGGTGGAGGGTTTATGTAGAATTGTATAGGGTGGAAGGAAGGAGGGTCTGTATAGCCCTGTGTCGGGTGAAAGGATGAAGGGTTTACTTTGTAGGACTGTGTAGGGTGGCATGATGGGGGTTTATGTAGGATGTGTGTGTAGGGCCCGACAGAGGTTTGTAGATATAGGACTGTGTAATGTGGAAGGCTGTAGGGTGGCAGGGTGGAGGGTTCATGTAGGACTGTGTAGAGTGGAAGGTTGGAAGGTTTTTATAGGACTGTGTAGGGTGGAAGGCTATAGGGCCTGTGTAGGCCTGTGTCGGGTGGAACAGAAGGTTTATGTAGGACTGTGTAGGGTGGGGATGGAGGGTTTATGTAGGACTGTGTAGGGTGGAAGGAAGGAGGGTTGTATGTAGCCTGTGTAGGGTGGCAGGATGGAGGGTTTATGTAGGACTGTGTAGGGTGGCAGGATGGAGGGTTTATGTAGGACTGTGTAGGGTGGCAGGATGGAGGGTTTATGTAGGACTGTGTAGGGTGGCAGGATGGAGGGTTTATGTAGGACTGTGTAGGGTGGGAGGATGGAGGCTTTGTGTAAGACTGTGTGTAGGATGGGAGGATGGAGAGTCTGATTGTTCCCCTCCTAGATTGTTCCCCTCCCTCCTAGATTGTTCCCCTCCCTCCTAGATTGTAAGCTCCAAGGAGCAGGGCCCTCGAACCCCTCGTGTATCGCACTGTATTGTTATTGTTCTGTCTCATGTATTGTCCTCCATTGTAATGTACAGCGCTGAGGGAACTGTTGGCGCTTTATAAATCCTGTATAATAATAATAATACTAATGTAGGACTGTGTAGAGTAGAAGGATGGACGGGGTTTATGTAGGACTGCGTAGGCTGGAAGGATGGAAGGTGTATGTAGGAGACTGTGTAGGGTTGAAAGATGGAGGGTCTATATAGGACTGTGTAGGATGGAAGGTTTTATGTAGGACTGTGTAGGGGAGGAAGGATGAAGGGTCTATGTAGGATTGTGTGGGGGGAAGCATGTAGGGTCTATGTTGGCCTGTGTAGGGAGGAAGGGTGTAGGGTTTTATGTAGGACTGTGTAGTGTGGAAGGGTGTAGGGTGTATGTAGGAATGTGTGGGGTGGAAGGATGGAGGGTCTATGTAGAACTGTGTAGTGTGCAAGGGGGTAGGGTTTATGTAGGACTGTGTAGGGTGGAAGGATGGAGGGTCTATGTAGGACTGTGTAGTGTGGAAGGGTGTAGGGTCTATGTAGGACTGTGTAGTGTGGAAGGGTGTAGGGTTTATGTAGGAATGTGTGGGGTGGAAGGATGGAGGGTCTATATGTAGGACTGTGTAGTGTGGAAGGGTGTAGGGTTTATGTAGGAATGTGTGGGGTGGAAGGATGGAGGGTCTATGTAGAACTGTGTAGGGCGGAAGGGTGTAGGGTTTATGTAGGACTGTGTAGGGTGGAAGGATGGAGGGTCTATGTAGGACTGTGTAGTGTGGAAGGGTGTAGGGTCTATGTAGAACTGTGTAGGGCGGAAGGGTGTAGGGTTTATGTAGGAATGTGTAGGGCGGAAGGGTGTAGGGTTTATGTAGGAATGTGTGGGGTGGAAGGATGGAGGGTCTATGTAGGACTGTGTAGTGTGGAAGGATGGAGGGTCTATGTAGGACTGTGTAGGGTGGAAGGATGGAGGGTCTATGTAGAACTGTGTAGGGCGGAGGGTGTAGGGTTTATGTAGGAATGTGTGGGGTGGAAGGATGGAGGGTCTATGTAGAACTGTGTAGGGCGGAAGGGTGTAGGGTTTATGTAGGAATGTGTGGGGTGGAAGGATGGAGGGTCTATGTAGGACTGTGTAGGGCGGAAGGGTGTAGGGTTTATGTAGGAATGTGTGGGGTGGAAGGATGGAGGGTCTATGTAGGACTGTGTAGGGGGGGAGAATGGAAGGTTTATGTAGGATCAGGGTGGATGGAAGTAGCTCTTTT